TGTCATTCTTCCTATCTAAAATTATTATTTTTAGGATAACTATCAAATAGGTATTCATAAATTTTTCTTACTATTGATCGAGGTATATCCATAATTTCTGAAACATTTCCTATGCTTATTTGTGGATTATTTTCAAACATATTTAAAGCAATATCCATACGACGATTTCCCAGTGGCCTTCCTGAGCCCTACATGCGCTGAAAACTTCTATGGTATGACAAATTCCGGTGAATATCAGTAAACATTCGACGTCCAGGTACTATGCGATTGGGAAACCTTCTTTGAAATTCTCTTACGGCTGTCAATGAACTGCCATTGCAAAACCCGTACACAAAATGCATGTCAGTCAGTTCTCTGTCTGTAAATCTTGGCATTTTAAATCGATTTAATAAAAAATTTGATTTTAATCTAGTAATTTTACACTGCTTTCAATGTCAGATTAACGTCAAAATAAGTCATAACAAATCAAAACAACTTTTGTTTGCAGTCATGGCTAACTATGTATAATCAATAATTCATTTAAATTCGCAGTACATTTCCTATCATGTGACAAATTTTTTAGTTTGATTTTATTCAAAAATGGCACAATTTATCGATATTCAATAAGAGTACCTTTTTTATGTAGAAAGCCCTACATTTTCAAATTCAAAATCCGTTTAGACAAAAATCTATTGACTTTTGGACCATGGGTCATATGAACTTTTTGACTTGTTTTGACCTCCCCCTATTACCCATTTCAATAATGACTATTATAACGTTAACAACCTGTATAAAATACCCTCATTTACGCTGGCAATATCCATGATCTGAAACCAAATAGCCTGTGTCTACAATGCCTTCCTATTTTATAACTAGCACAAGTTTGATCCAGTACATCCACTCCCACTTCAGTAACATTGCAAAAATCTATCATATACCTAAGAGTACAGATTTGACTTTGAAACTAATAACAATCAGAACAGTATAAATCAGCTTCAAGCGTAATAGAGAAAACAACTACAGGGTTCGGCAATGAAACGGGAAGATTTCGTAAATAACTTTATTGTTGAAAAAATATTTTTTTGTAATTATTAATACCTTAATGGGAAATAAAAGAGTAGCCATTTGACATACAATGTAAAAAAAAATATTTTTTGAAAATTACATCTGTCAAATGTCCTCCGTTGACACCTATGCATTCATGGAGTCGAGCCTGAAAGTTCTGCATAACTTCGCAGCATATCAACAGGTATTGCTTCAATCCCGTCACGAATTCGTTGTTTGAGGGCCGGGATTGTCCTGTGTGAATCAGTTTCAAACACTTTCGTTTTTAGATAACCCCATAAAAAGAAGTCTCAGACAGTAAGGTCGGGAGACCGAGGGGACCAAGTAATATCCCCGTTTTGAGAAACGACACGCCCTGGGAAGCATTCACCGCATTCATTGAAATTCTTGCAGTGTGGCTTGTTGCACCGTCTTGTTGAAAAAGTGTGTTTTCATTACCTGGAAAGCGGTGAAGTTGAGGTGTGAGGAAGTTACATCGCAAAAATCTATCATATAAGAGTACAGATTTGACTTTGAAACTAATAACAATCAGAACAGTATAAATCAGCTTCAAGCGTAATAGAGAAAAACAACTACAGGGTTCGGCAATGAAACGGGAAGATTTCGTAAATAACTTTATTGTTGAAAAAATATAATAATAATGTAATTATTAATACCTTAATGGGAAATAAAAGAGTAGCCATTTGACATACAATGTAAAAAAATATTTTTTGAAAATTACATCTGTCAAATGTCCTCCGTTGACACCTATGCATTCATGGAGTTGAGCCTGAACACTTTCGTTTTCAGATAACCCCATAAAAAGAAGTCTCAGACAGTAAGGTCGGGAGACCGACGGGACCAAGCAATATCCCCGTTTTGAGAAACGACACGCCATGGGAAGCATTCACCGCATTCATTGAAATTCTTGCAGTGTGGCTTGTTGCACCGTCTTGTTGAAAAAGATGGTTTCATTACCTGGAAAGCGGTGAAGTTGAGGTGTGAGGAAGTTCCGAATTATTGCAACGTATCTCAGAATTAACGGTAGAATTAAGGGTAACGACATTTTCAGCATTATCCTCAAAAAAATACGAACCGATGATTCCATTTGTAGACATTGCATACCAAACTGTCACTTTCTGAGCATGAAGAGGTGATTCATGAAGCAAACGAGGGTTCTCCTCCGCCCAATACCTGAAATTTTGTTTGTTAACAAAACCGGAGAGGTGAAAGTGTGCCTCATCACTCATCCACAAGTTGTTAACTTGGTCATCATTTTCTTTGAACCTGGCAAGCATAACCTCACAAAGTCTGAGACGCTGTTGATAATCACCCGGTTGAAGTGATTGAACAACCTGTATTTTGTACGGGTGATATCGAAGATCTTGTTGGAGTACCCTTCTCACCGATCTGTCACTTATTCGAAGGCGTGTGGCGTGACGGATGGCCGATCGACGTGGACTTCTTAACATTGCTTGTCGAACACGTTCAATATTTTCAGGGGTTCGAATCGTTCTGGCACTACCACCGGCGTCATGTTGGAAGTACATATGCAGTTTGCAGGTTGACATTCTACAAAAGCAAAGGCAAATGCTCGATCAAAAAATTCAAGTATTCTGTACCTGTTAATCTGTTGTCGAAAAAGAAAGGCCCGATAGCTTGTCTGCCAATAACTCCTCCCCAAACATTCAAGCTCCATTTATTTTGGAAATCTATTTGCCTAACCCAGTAAGGGTTTTCCGTCGCATAATAGTGCATGTTATGCCTGTTGACAACACCTATGCTGTTAAAAGTTGCCTCAAAAGGCTAAAAAGAACCTTATCCAGGAAAGTAGTGTCTTCACTCACTTTATTTAGCATTATTCTACTATACACAATTAGAGCTGCGAAATCCTGAGGACGAAGGCCTTGATGCAAGCATAGGTGATATGGATGGTACCTATGCGTGTGAATAATCCTTTGGACAGAAGTTGTTCATATATCAGTTTCTGCTCCAATTTGCCTTGTACTTAAATGGGGATTTTCCTGCAATTTGATTATTGACACTTGGATTATTCATACATTTTTTACTTTATTACATTGCTCCACTTGATTCAAACCGTTCTCGTAGTGTGGAAAATGTTTCCGGCCTTGGATGTCGCATATTAGGGTATGCTTATAAATACGAGATGCTAGGAAACTATTTCTTTGGGCTTCGCCCAAAACGTAGACCGTATTCACCATTTCTTCTTTAGAAAAATTCATTTTAAAAAACGTTTCTAATATAATGCGCACAAAGCTAATTTTGATAGTTTGTAACTAATCAACAATTTACAGCGTCCGGCAATAAAGTATGGTGTTTTTGAAAAAATTTACACACTTTCATTTTTAAACATATATCAAAATTTATAATTTTAATACATTAGTGGAATGTTGCCATTTAAGTATACGTATACATAACATAGTCAAGTGTGAAAAATTCCGTCAGTTCGGTGACCGTCCATTCTTGTCGATGCATTCTTGGAGACGGATTGCAAAATCATCAATACTCCTTTCGAGCAAGGCACGAGGAATCCTTTCAATTTCGCACGTTATGGTTTCCGAAAGAGCCTCAAGAGTTCGCGGTTTGTCTATGTAAACTTTGGATTTTAAGTTGCCTCATAAAAGGTAGTCACAACACGAAAGGTCTGGTGACCGAAGTGGATTTCCACGCAACGAAATAACGCGCCCAGGAAAATATTCCCTTACAAAGGCTATCACAGCTCTTGAGGTATGACGATGTTGGAACCAAACTGTATTGAGGTTAATTCGTCGTCTTCTTATTTCTGACAGAAAATAATCATGCATCATGGCGGGATAACGATATGAATTCACTGACACTGTTCGTCCGTTTTCACGAAGAAAATACGGGCCAATTATGCAAGTTCGAGATACGGCACACCAAACAGTTACCCTCTCAGAGTGCAGATGTTGTTCATGCAGTTCTCGTGGGTTTTCTGGTGCCCAGTATCGCAAGTTGTGTTTGTTTACCATCCCCGTTAAATGAAAATGGGCCTCGTCACTCATGAACAAAACGATGTTCCGTGCAGCAATTCCAGCATCCTTTCTGCGAACCTTTGTCGTCTTACAAAGTCATTTTGTTCCAGCTTTTGAACAACCATAATCTTATATGGATGGAAATGGAGGTCTCAGTGTAAGATTCTGCGAACTGAACGGTCTGACATTCTCAGAGCGCGAGCGTGACGTACCGCTGAACGGCGAGACCTGGTTTCCACCGCTTGTTGCACTCTTTCAACCAACGTTAAAATGGTTTCGAAATCGTCGCTGTGTGAGGACAGCAGAACGACCAGTTTCAATAAAAGTGTTGTAAACACGCGATGTGCCACAGACCACGGCTTCATAGCTACTAAAATGGCATCGCGGAACGAGTAGATATCAACCATCCTGAAAATATTTGTTCGCATTGCTGCACGTAACAGTCGTTTCAAAAACAGCATACTTCTTTGCCAGACCCTGTATTTGTTTCCAAGAATGATGCGATATTTTAGGGAAATAAGCCGTTCCATAAAAGACGTGCTAATAACCGAAAAAATTGCCGTAAAAACCCTTATGTGTCTAGTACCAAAAAAAGCTTATGAAAAATATAATCCACCACCCTGTATGAGCAAAAATTAAAATTCGAAAAAAGTAACAAATAAGATAAAGGCTGAGGTGAGTAAGTTTTTTTTGGTCCAAAATTCAGCACTCCAAATTTCAAAATGGCGGACTGAGGGGTTGCCGAACTAGGGGGTTTTTCTAGACAAAACACCTTATATCTCAGTAGCTAATTACCAAAACCCCATAGTATGTTATTCGAGGGATGTCTTTTAAGTTTTGCATATGGAAATAAAACAACACGGTAGGTAGTTTTAAATGACTTTATTGTTTTTCGAAGTATTCTCCACGAAGATTAATACACATCTGCATGCGCTCGAACCAATTTTCGAAGCACTTATTCCACTCGTTTGCTGGCAGATCCAAAACGGCATTTTTGAATGCGTCAACTGCTTCTTCTGGTGACTGGAACCTTTGACCATGCAGTCTTTTTTCAATTTTCGGGAAAGTAAAGAAATCGTTAGTACTTAGATCGGGACTATATGGAAGGTGGTCCAATAATTCCACGTTTTCTTCAGTTAACTCTTTCAGGCACAAGATTTTTTCCATTTTCTAGTCCCATGTTGCACAGAATCTAAAAGTTCGGATTATTTAAATTATTTCAATCATATTCAAAATAATTAATGAAAATTTGAAGATTCTTGTATATATTTTTTTAAATTAAATGTCAGTTTGGCAGATAATTGGTGGTACGACATATGTACCACCGTGCAACTTGAACTAAGGGTAGAAGGCAATTATGAAAAATAAAAAGTTTATTCAACAGAATACCAGAAGTATTTTATTAATTTATAATCAAGATTAACAATATCTACTTTGTTTTGTGATATTCTTGAAAACAGTATTTGGATTTGCTTAAGCATAACGGAACTTTACACACTGTACAAGACCATTCAGTACGAACTTGGTGGATCCTGGTACTACATCTGGCACATCTTCGTCTTGTAGACCTTACAGGCTGATGATCTGATGACGTGAAACGCACTTCGTCTGGTACTGCTCTTTTTATTTTCTTGAAAGGTGCTTCCGAATGTGTTTCATGATCTGCACTAATTTGGACGTATCGTTCTCCTAATAACCTATCAACAACTCTTCGGCGAAAGTCTTTCAAGGGAAATTTTTTTTATACCTCTCAGTCGATAGAGAGAATGAATAAATTTACGACGCAGCAATCAATGAAATGGGAAAAAATTCTCATCCACCATTTTTTGCTTTTACGATCTAGCTCATAAGATGATTTCATTTGGTCGAAACGGTCCACAAAGCTCATGTTACTACTGTAGTCCACCAGTGCCATAGGACAAGGAACAGGCGTTTTAGTACCATCCTTTTGTTTTCGTTGGACAGTGCTTGTTACCGTTGGATCATGATAATTGGTCAAAATATGGACTGCTCTTTTGTCTTTCCATTTAAATAAACTGATCCCATCAGTACTTATCGAATTATCATATTCACCTTGTTTCAGACGTTTATCTTCAATCATTTTTGGAAGATGTTTTCTGTTCGACTGAACTGTACCACATGCATGAATCCCCCTTTCTTTGAGAATTTTCAATAACCCATACGAGGTGAAAAAGTTATCGAAGAAGAGCAAGTGATTTTTTTGTTAAAATTCTCGGTAAGTCCAAGTATCACCTTTTCCTCTAAGGAATGTTCTACGTAGACATCGCTTTTGCCGGTATAAACATCAAAGTCATATAGATATGCATTTGCGTCAGCCAAAGTCCAAATTTTGTAGCCTCGTTTTATCGGCTTTTTCGGCATATATTGCTTCAACGTACTTCGCCCCTTGAATTTTATTATTGATTCATCGATTGCGATGTTTTTTGTACAATTATAATATTTTTTTAAATTCTCCTTAATTTTATCTATGAAGGGCCTGACTTTATATAGTTTATCGAATCCTGCATCCCATTTTTTTGGCATTACGCTATTGTCATTGAGGTGAACGTGGCTAAGTAACCAACCGAACCTATTTACAGGCATAAACTGGGAAATGTAATTATCGTGCATGTCTTCATCGACACTCCAGTAGTTTCTATAACTAGGTAGTGGTTTGATTCTCATAAAAATATTAAGACCAAGGAAAACCTTCATTTCTTTTGTATTTGTAGGATTATATTTTTTGGTATTTTTTTGAAACTCTTGTTCAGCATACAGGTTTGTTTGAAAAACAATGTCTTCTATAAGCTCGTCAGTAATAAACAGATTAAAAAAGAAGTAAGGCGACAACAGGTGATCTTCCTTTTGTAGCAACTGAAGACATAAACCTTGATTCTCAGTAAACGGCTGAGCCGGGTTTATTAGATGTAAATTTTGAGAAGACCATGAAACTTTGGGTGGTTGATTATATGGCTTTTGTAAATACCTTGAAAGAGGGACGTCATCATCGCTGGAGTCATCATCAGTACTGATCATAATATCATTCGGCTGTATTTCACAGAAATCGTTTTCGTTGTCGGACTCTTCTGAAATAATCGATTCCTGATCACTTGGAACTTTATCTATCATTTCTATTTCATGGTACAACTCTTCTACAGTCATATCTACCAATTGAAAGTCCAGAGGATACTTACTACTGCCGACGAAAGCCATGGCCTGAAAAAAGAAAAAGCCCTTATTGCATAGTGATACAAATTACGGACTCATTATAATTATGTATTTTTTCAAACCTAATCCCTAATTTTTATTGCACTTATGTTTTTTCCATAAATATATACATAATAAAACACAAATAGTATACTGAATATCCCGAAATACTTACTTTTTCAATATCAAAACACCACTAAATATTTGTAATCAAAAACACGTGTTTCTTGCAACATCTAATGCGACTCACGAGTCAAGACAGGAAATATTTACGCAGTATAGGCAAAATCCGCATCCTTGTTCATTAAATATATGGTATGTATATGTGGTACAGAAAATAATAAACAGCAAAATGAATTCGAAAGGTGGTTTATTTTGTGTACCACCAGCTATTTATTTGTGGTGCGATTTATGTACCACACTGCCGAAAAGAGTTAAAGACTGCCTTGTTCTTTGGGCTGTGTGCGAGCTTGCATTGTCTTGGTGGAGGATGATTCTTCTTTCGGGGTTCTTTTTCGAAACACTTCGAGAACGGACGACTTTTCTTGGCTTCTCTTCACAATGGAACACCCAAACAGCCGACTGTCGTTTATTTTCTGGTTCATAACAGTAAATCCACGATTCATCACCACTAACATTGCTGTACACATTTTTTGAGTTTCCGGAATTGAAACGGTCAAGCTTTTTTTGACAGCAATTAACCCTGGCTGCTTTCTGCTCTTCAGTCAACAGGTGGGGTATCCAACGAGAAACTAATTTTCTAACTTCTAATTCTTCATGTAAATTTTTTTGATGAGGTCTTTGAAATCTTCCAGGACGCCTCAGCATCTACGTTTTCCTGGGTGACTGCCGCACCCACCCTGGGATCGTCGCTAAGACTCACCCGTCCACGTTTGAATTCTCTATACCAACGGGAAATTGTCGACTGATGTGGCGCTTCGTTGCCGAAAACAGACAGTAACTCAGCAAGGCATTCTTGTTGCGATAATTGTCTCTGCAAGTTGTAATAAATTATGGCGCGAAAACGTTCTCGGTTGTGTTCCATTTTGCTAATGACTTTGAATTTAAGTTTACTAAAGAGTGAGGTTAAGATTCGCCCGCACGCAAAACGCACGTTGTTCTCCGGTGAAGTTTGGTATGGTTACTAAATTTCCCGACACTTGACTCTTCAGCGCGATGCTCCCCACCAGTTAAATCGACTTTTTTTTTGATGAGGGGGGAATGCGTTTACGCACCATACCATAGCCCGAGCTACGGCGTGTGTGGGACTCCAGGTTGTCTTGAGGAGACCACCTAATACCCACTAAACCCTAACCTCCGCGTGGCCCGACTCATCAGCGTCTCGGTAGGCCATGTGTTGTGCGTGACCTGCGGTCTGCTACAACGTCTCCTCATGTGTTTCAGTCTCTGGGAACGCCGGGTTGGTTCCCTTTACCTCGCACATTCTATCGATGTCGTTAAGCGATCATCGATAGAGGGTCTGCTAAGTTCTCTTGAAACTCTTGTTTTCGAAAAATCAAGAGTTTCAAGTCCTCTTACCAATATATTGTTCCTGGTCCTGGTCCTGAAGGGTCCTGGTCCTGGTGGGTCCTGGTCGTGGCGGGTCCTGGTCCTGGTTGGTCCTGGTCCCGATAGGTCCTGGTCCCGGTGGGTCCTGGTCCCGGTGGGTCCTGGTCCCGGTGGTTCCTGGTCCTCTGCATCCACGCCGTGGGGGGGGGAGCAACCGCGGGTTCTCCTAGTCTCCTAGTCAAGGCTCCAGTTAGCGGGTGCCAACTGGGACCTTGGTCTAGGGTACCTGGTTCTGCGGTTGCGAGGCCTCTCGTCCGGATCGTAGTCCATGAGGAATCGTAGCTGCTCGTTCGGGTGGTCCTGAGCTTTCTCGAAGGTCTTCTCCGCTTTTTTCCTCATGTACTCGTGGATGGTGTCCCAATGCAGGTCTCTACACAAGGTTGAGTTTCTTACGTAGGATGGTGCACTGGTGGCGATCCGGAGTAGCTTCATCTCTAGAGCAGCAAGTCGCTTGCGTACCCCCAGACCGCGGAGGCGTAAGCGAGCTGAGGTCTGGCGATGGCCTTGATCAACCGTAGCTTGGTCGCTAGCGGCATCCGGCTGTGTCTACCCAGTAATGGGTAGAGTTGAGCCATGGCTGCTCTGGTCTTTGCGATGACAGCTTCTATGTGGGCTTTCCAGGTAAGGGACTTGTCAAATACGATCCCCACATATTTGACTTTGTCGCTCCACTGGATATCTTCGTCGAAGATGGATGCTTCGAGAGGTCTTGCAATCCTTCTTCGTTGAATGAAGATTGCCTGCGTCTTCTGGACGTTGATGCGGATTTTCCATTTCACGCACCAGTCCTGCATGTGGTCCAGTTCATCCTGTAGTCTCCTACGGATGATCTCGGGTCGTCTATGCTTGGCGGCTATAGCAGTGTCGTCTGCATATAGGGCCAACATTGTGTCAGCTGTCTTCGGCACATCGTGAGTATAGATGTTGTAGAGCAGGGGGGCTAAGGCTGACCCCTGGGGCACGCCTGCTTCCAGCTGTCGTCTTGTTGAATGTCATGTACCAATCTTCACCGTGAACCATCTTTGTGTTAGATAGCTCTGGATCAGTTGGCACATGTTCGCATCGATTCCGGCGGCTTCCATTTTGGCGATGAGTCCATCGTGCCAAACTCGATCGAAGGCTCGTTCCACGTCCAGCAGGACGAGACCGGTTGCCTCCTGGAGATTGAAGCCGCTGGTGATGTTTTCAGTCAGTCGTACCGCTTGGAGTTCCGTGTTGTGGGAGGATAGAATTGCTCTGGGGGGAGAAGTTGCAGTTCTTCTGGATGCTTCTCTAGTCGAACGGCGAAATACTTACTTTTTCAATATGCCTGCTTCCAGCTGTCGTCTTGTTGAATGGCATGTACCAATCTTCACCGTGAACCATCTTTGTGTTAGATAGCTCTGGATCAGTTGGCACATGTTCGCATCGATTCCGGCGGCTTCCATTTTGGCGATGAGTCCATCGTGCCAAACTCGATCGAAGGCTCGTTCCACGTCCAGCAGGACGAGACCGGTTGCCTCCTGGAGATTGAAGCCGCTGGTGATGCTTTCTGTCAGTCGTAGCGCTTGGAGTTCCGTGTTGTGGGAGGATAGAATTGCTCTGGGGGGAGAAATTGCAGTTCTTCTGCCTGCTTCTCTAGTCGAACGGCGATAGCCTTTTCGACTACTTTGCCCATCGAGGAAACCAGGCTGATGGGCCGGTAGTTCTGGGGCAACTTCATGTCGTTGCCTGGCTTGGTGAGCATTATAACCTGGGCTTCCCGCCACCGCCGCGGGAAATGGTTAAGTCTCAGAGTGGCATTGGCGATGTTGGTGAGCGCAGCAATGCCTTTGGTGGGAAGGTTCTTCAGCATCCTGTTGTTGATGCCGTCCCTTCCCGGCGCCTTTCTGACCTTCAACCTGCGGATGATCAGACGGATTTCCTCTGGACTGGAGGGGTGATCCGTCTCCTGGCCAGGTGGTCGACTCCTCTTGATTTCGGCTGCGACTTCCACGGCCTCCTCGTGGTTGTCGTCCTCGTCTTCATGGTAATTGAGTCTGCATTCGGATTCTAGCGAATCGGCGAATGCTTTGGCTTTTTCTTCACTGGAGTAGGCAAAGCCGCGTTGGCCGTGAAGAGTGGGGATCGTGGTGCGCTGACGACGAAATTTTCGCTGCATGGTCCAGGCCGTACCATGCTGGGTCTCTAGTTCTGCACAGGCTGCATTCCATCTGCTGTTTTGGAGTTCCGCGGGTGCGTTCTTCAGAGCTAGCGATGCTCTGTTTCGCGCAACTCTCGACTCCTCTGTCAACAGCTGGAGATGTTCTCGCTTGAGTCTTCTGTTCTCCCTGATCAGGTGCCTAATATGGTGCGGTGCTGGACCATTTAGGTGTCTAGGAACTGCCGTAGTCTCGGAGCGGGTGCTGTCCTCGTGCGCTCGCAGGACAGCATTCTCCAGCTCCTCTACTGCGTTGTCCAGTTCCTCCGCTGATCGGATGGTTGGAATTTGAGTGATGTTCCTTTGGACGTTGGATTTGTACAGGTTCCGGTTCGTCCGTTTGGTACTCAAGCTATCTCGAGTTCTAGACCCTGTGCCAAGTGTTAGTAGAATCGGATTGTGGTCCGACGATTCTTCCACCAGGGTCTCTATCTCGAACTCCTCTCTGATGTTGCGGAGGATGGCTATGTCCAGTACCGCAGGTCGCTCAAGGCCGAATGGAATGTAGGTTGGTTGCTCCGGACCGACGATGACCCCCGCCAGGGCATCGACGTGTTCCTGGAGCTGCCTTGCTTTCCTGTCAAGGTACGTTTGACGAGTAATGCGACTCCTCCACCTCTGCCTCTTCTGCCGTAGCGGTACGTCTCGTACCGCGGGAACGTCAGACTATGGGCAGCATCCAATTTCGTTTCTTGGATAGCCATCACCTCTGGTTGGTACTGGTCTAGTATCTCCTGGATTTCTGGTTTCCGTGCCCTGAATCCGTTGATGTTCCAGGAGATAATGCGTAGAGATTCTACGTTTTGCATAGTCATTTCGGGTCTAATGCTTGTCTTGCATCTTGGCCTCGAGTGCATCCAGGCGGGTTATGATGGCTTGCATCATTGGTAGCAGTCTATCATCGCGGTGTTGCTTCTGCGCAGTAGTTCCAGTAGCAGTGGCGGCTGCTGGGGCAGAAGTGGACATAGGTTTCTTCGCTTTTTGAACGTAAGAGGTCCTATTTGTGGTGGGGACTGCTTTGGGGGCAGAAGCAGCTTTCCTCGGGGCACTACTACATCCCTTGTAGTTGGCGGGGTGGCCTTCTCCACATAGGCAACACTTGGCGTTTCGTTGCCCTGTTGGCGGCGCTGGCAGACTGCAGCTGGTGCTGGTGTGGTCCTCTCCACACTTAACGCACCGTTCAGCGAGACGGCAGTTCCGCTGTGGGTGCCCGTACCGCTGGCAGCGGTAACATTGGCTGGGCTCGGTGGACTTTTTCTTCCTCTCGAAGCTGATCGTGAGCATGGCCAGCCTCTGGATCTCTGGAAGCTTTTCCGGCATCTTCGTCTTGACGAGGAAGAGCGGAAGTGGCTTCTTGGTGGTCCTTGAGGTCATCTGCTGAACCTCAGCGTCTGCGATACCTTGACTCACTAGACCCTCTTTGACATCATCGATTGACATCTTCCTGGATAGTCCACGAATGACCCTCTGGTCCATCCTGTCCTCCTTCAGTTGATAGGTGAAGAAGGGCCGCTTGATGGAGTCCAGCAGTGCGACTAGCTGACGGTAGTCAGCTGGTGTATTTGTGAACACCTTCACACTGTTACCCGCCGTCCTCGCCTTGGAGAATTGGATCCCCTTGTTGTTCATCATCCTGCTTAAGGATGACCAGTCAGCGGTGCCCTCGATATTGATTGGCGGAAATCCTGTTCCTGCCATGGGGGCCTCGGTGGTCCTGGTTGCTCTAGGACCTATCTTCTTGGTGGCAGCTGGCATCTTTGGCTGCCTGGATGGTTCTTCTTCTTCGGAGGAGGAGGAAACTCTCACTCGTTTTCTCCTCCTGGTGACGACACTGAAGTCTGCGTCATCAGTCCTCTTCTCGGCTTCTTCTTCGATCTCTTGGGCATCCATGTCCCTGTTTTCCGTAGGCTGCTGGTCCTCGTCTCCCTGGTCCTCACCTTCTTCTTCTTCTTCTACCGTCTTCTTCGCCTTCCTCTTCGCTTTGAGGAGCTTCCCCCTCACTTCCTCTATCTCTTGCCTCGCCTGCTTGAATGCTTCTTGCAGATTTTTCATCTGCTCAGCAAGCATTGCGAAATTATCCTCCTTCTGCTTCAGCTGGCTCGTCAGTTTTTCTATTCTCGCCATCGTGGATGGCGATGGTATCGTGATGAAAATCACAATAAGATCGCACTGTAAGGCCGTCCGCACACGACGCAACCAGGTCGCGATACGTGTTGATCAACTGCCAAGCAACGCAATTGTTTTAAAATTATAGTTTCATATTGCTTGCACTTGTCGGCACATGAAACGACTGAATTTGAATTGGTATCGTACAACCAGCTAAAACAGTGCTGTAGGGGAGCGCGGGGTTCGAAGTTCCGATTTTGAAGTAGGACCCAATATGAATGCAATAAACAGTTTTTTAATACATGATTACTATATGAATAGATGCGGAAATTATTCTAGTTTCACTTTCAACTGTTAAATTCATTGAAATGACAATCTATTTTGGCCTAGGACCAATTTTTTGTAGCAGGTCGATAAGGAACAACCAGCCCCTTCAAGGGGCGTGTTGTTCCTTAGTTGAGGTAAGTTGTGCCGCTGTCATCTCCAGTCATTATAAAATAAATAAGACATACATGTATCCGATATTAATGACAGTTTTATTTATTAAACGTAAATGTGTAACATTTTAAACGAATTCACAAGACACTTTGAAGATTTAACGAAAACAATACTCTTAAAAGGTATTAAGAAGTGTGATTAGTAATAATGCTCGTAATAATGTAAAATCTGCACCTAATTACTAAACTTAAGACTAACAAAACATCCCTATTATGAACGCAAATTATGTGTTTTCATCGAAACATTAAGAAAAATCAACCAAATGTAACATTTTGAAATATAGTTAGAGTTACCTACTTTATTCAGTCTCATACGGCTAACATTAATGAGATCAAAAATCTGATAGACGGTTTAGTTATCAATATTTTTTTCACAGAAAAGATAATTATTCAAAGTATTCGTCATCCGAATCACAATTCGGACAAACAAAAAAATGTATATCTTCAGATTTTAGGCATTTTGAATGAGCCCAATTCTTACACTTGACGCATTCAATCCATTGTTCTCCTGGTTTTGAATTGGAAAATGAGTCGCAGCATATCAAACAATACCATTCCAGACTGTCTTCTTCGCTGTCGCTTTCATGATCGTCTTGGAGGATTTTCCGTTTCACATTTTTTTTACCACTTAAGGATTTACCTATCACTTTACAATTTTGCTTGTCTATACTGTTTGAGTTTGTTTTTCCAATTCTCTTTTCAATTTTGTTTCCCTTTGTTTTGGTTTTGCTTTTCACTCTTCTCGCTTTTTCTTCAGCTAAAGCGTTCTTTTCAGGCGTATCTGTCAGTATTGCTGATTTTCTAATTCGGTGCTTAGTTGCTGTAGATGATCTTGGTGGTGCTTTTGGTAAAGGTTTGATAGCTTCAGGGGAAAATATGCGAGATGTGGCTTGAATTACAACATTGTTTGAGAAATCGGCAATGTTTGAAGGTCCTGGTTGAGGTTGATTCGTCACGGGTCCTGTTGTCGCTGGACGTGGCTCGATATCTGGGATGCCTTCCATATTACAATTCAACCCAGGTTCTTCATGATCTGTTATTTTTTGGAGCTGTGATTCCTCATTATGAGTTGATTCCAATAACGATATGTTAGTGTCAGGCAGAGGTCGGTCAGTCACAAAAGACGGAGCAAAATCTTCATCCGTAAATATATCAGGGTTGTATGGACTTATGCCTGCTTTTTTAAACGCGTTCATTATGTTATTGGGAGTCGCTGCTACAGGCCATGCAATCTTTACAATTCCAGGTATCTCATAGATAGACATTGTCTTTCCTGGGTTGTTACGTAACCAGTTTTGTTGAGCTTTGGTACAATATGTTTTGAACGGTCCATTAACGCCAACGTCTAAAGGTTGCAAATGATTAGTGCAATGTGGAGGGAAAGACAACATTACAACCGAATTGACCTTTGCCTTTTCAACAACATCAATGTCAACATGTGATTGATGGTTATCAAGCAATAACAAGACTGGATCCTCAGGTGTAGGCTTTGTATATTTAATAAAATGGTCCATGAAGATAAGGAATTCTTTAGCCGTCATCCATCCCGAACTATTTCCTGCTCCAATACTTTCTGGGGGACCATCACGAAGAAATAGGTCTTTATACTTGAGGCGAGGAAAAACAAACATAGGGGGGATAGTATTTCCAACTGCATTCGCTGCTAATTCGACGGTAACTAAGGTTCCCCGCTCTGCAGATACTATGGCACCTACCTGCTTAGCTCCTTTTGAGGCTACTATTTTTTTTTTGGTTTTAGCACAGTGGTGACTCCTGTTTCGTCCAAGTTCCATATTCTAGACGGTCGGAAGCTGTGTTTCAATATGACGTCTCCAAACTTCTTGAAGAATTCCTTAACGTTGTGCCGGTTAAAAGAAGATGCACGACCTGCACTTGTTGCTTCAGGAGTTCTTATAGACAAGGATGGATTTCTTTTCAAAAAACCCGTAAACCAATCAGCTCCAGCTTCTTTATTTCTATGCCAAGAGGCAGGAATGTTATGCATGTCAAATTTAATAGCACAAGTATATGCCAATTTCCTTACTTCTTCTGGCAAGAGGCCAAAGTAGATTGAAGCACACTTCAACAAATACTCGGCTAATGTCTTCTCCTGGTCATGGTTGAACACCTGTCTGGAATAATAGCCTACAGTGGGTGTTAAACCGGCCTTCAACTTTTTGACATAACGAAATAACGTCATGTGGCATATTTCCAGTTCTCGAGCGACCGTCTTAAGCTTACGACCATTTCTAATAACAGCATCAGCTGCCCGCTGCAGCAAGTCAATCGAAACTTTGCCTCGTTCGGTTTTCCGTTTGTAGTTTCTCATCCTAAAACAAATTTGATTTCTATTATTAACGTGTTACATTACGGGGCACGTTGTTCCGCGGTACAACTAGCCCCCCGCCAAAGGAACTTTCAACCCCAAATCCCATTTCCAAGGTATCCTCCAATTATAATAGAATAGGTTAAGAAAATGGAAGAATGATAATAAAAAGATATTCGCTATAGTTTGCCCAACTCAACTCTGCAAATCAGGCACAAATAGCAGTCAAATTAAATGATTTAGACCAAAAAGACTAGAGACGAAAAAATTTACTTACGTGATTTTTATACACCACTAACGATTACCACTGTCACCTGCTGTCACGGCATCACTAAAATGGCTGACACAATAGCGCGTTAGTACGACGGTTTGCAACACACTTCACACCTATTGTTATCTCTTTTCATCGCTGAGCTATTCGGATCGGAACAACCTACCCCCGGCACTTTGAACCCCGGTCTCCCCTACATGAGAGCAGTACGGATGCAGTTTTTTAACATTTTCTTCTATTTCTGTCAGATATGTCTAATAGTGAGGAAGAAGACGTGCTTATTTATTACCGATACAAAAGACAACGAAGGCTTCGAAGAAAACTGTGGTGTCATCCTTATATTGAAAGAAACATAAACTGCAGGTTTTTCATGGCAGCTAACCAGCTAGCCGAAACAGATGTCAAATTCGTGCAATGCTACAGAATGTCCAAAGCTTCTTACCTGGAATTAGTTAAGCTGCTTAGCCCTTTCCTATCAAAGATGAACACAAATATGCGAGAATGTGTGAGCGCAGAGGAAAGAATACTAATCACTTTAAGGTAAGTATTATATTTAAGCTTAATACAATTAAACATTTAAAAAAGGAAGAACGCAACTTTCTAAGTTGTGCTGTCATCAATAATAGTGTAGGTATTGACCTCAGTGGGGGACAGAGAATGTCTAAAATTCTCATAATACTGACTTGTGGGAGGAATATTATGAGGAGTCGATGGAAATGATATTGCTGATAAACTTGATGAATTAGAATATGTCACAGATCCACTTTGGCAGCGAGCAGTAGTATTTTCAGTGGGGCTTACTGCACTCAATCCAATATCGTCGATAATATTCAAAACTCTTCGCTCAAATTCCCTTATTTGTACATCACTCAACTGAGACAAATCGGGTATCAGGCTTAACAAAAACATTTTAATACTTTCTTTCCTTTCATCTTGTTGATTTTGGTCCAGTTTAGTCTTCTTAGCTGTAAAATATTCAGCGATAGACACATCTGCGTCCTCTTCACATTTCCGCCGTGAGGCCACCTTAAATTTTTGTTTCTGACAAGACTTTCCCTCTGTGTTTCGTTTAGTCTGTGCTGTTTGTTGTAGTGGCGGCGGTGGTGGAGAAAATGGAGATGAGGGCTGCTGTGAGAACGATGCAGGTTCTGTATCATTTTCTGCAATACTTTCATCATAATCGCTAGTTGAGGGTGATAGTACTTGGGTTGTCTGTTGTTCAGGCATCTCTGGCAAATTTCCAGGTGAAGGAGGAATGGCTGTCTTTATAAATGGCACAGCAAACTGCATTACATCAGCCAAGTAATAAGCTTTCTTCTTTGTCGCTCCTGATCTCCTGTTTCGAGAAACAACTGTACGAAGGTTTCTCCATTTTTCCTTGCACTCAGCAACTGGAAAAAGAGTTTTTTTTAATTATTAAAGAAGCAAAAAATGGAAATTACGCAAAAGAAAACATGGGAGATAACTTATATGTATTATAGATATCGTAGGAAAATACCTTATAATAGTCAATAAATGACAATTTATTAATACCTTTTTTTAAATTTCATATTTCTATGTTTTTACAGGTACTTGGCTACGGGTTGCACGTTTGTATCGCTTTCTTTATACTTCGCAAGAAGGGAGACCACAGTTGGTATTATCGTTAAAGAAACAACAAAAATAATCTGGGATGTGCTGAATGACACCTATATGCCTTTACCAACGGTTGAAAAATGGAAAGCGATAGCAGATCGTTTCGAGTTCTTGTGGAACCTTCCCAACTGCATCGGGGCAATAGACGGTAAACATATCCGAATACAGAAATTTGCTAACACTGGTTCAGAATACTTCAATTATAAATCTTATCATTCTGTGGTACTTATGGCATGTTATGATGCAGATGGACTTTTTACAATGATAGAACCAGGTTACGCAGGAAGAAACAGCGATGGAGGGATCTTCCGTGCTTCTAGAATCAAGTACTGGATAACACAAGGCAATTTTGAGATTCCTTCACCCTCCCCCTTAACGCACGATGAAAAAAGAGTCCCATTGCCTTACTATTTTGCAGGGGATGAAGCTTTTCCATTAACACGATATTTAATGAGACCGTATCCAAAAAGAACACTAGACAACGTTAAACGCATTTTTAACTATAGATTGAGCCGAGGGAGAAAAACAATTGAATGCGCATTTGGGATGGCAGCAGAAAAGTTTCAGGTCCTAAACGGTCCTATACTATGCCGAGATCTGGGAACAGTCAGCAATATAATAAAAGCCGTTTGCGTTTTACACAACTTTGTTCACGCTCGAGAAGGAATTGAGTATACAGCATCTTCAGTTCAAATGACAGGAACATAACAAAATAACACAATTATACCAATGGCAGATTTAACAATAAATGTGGATGCAACACCAACTGCCCTCAGAAATTATATTGCTAATTATTTTCTGTCTCCTCATGCCTCTCTGCCCTGGCAATGGAATTATTGTGTCCGAGACATTTGATTTTTACTGTACAAAAGTAGTAATGCAGATAAAACTGTTGTTACATATATACTTTTATCAAAATTGATATCTTTTTTACTTTTTTATAGATTAAATATATTGGTTGTCCTGCTACACAATATCTTGTTCCGTCGTTTTGTCAATTAATGTGCAATATATGTTGTTCATTAATTAGTTTATATTATTAAACGCATTGTACATACCTGTCATGCTTACTTCTTTCGCCACCTCACTCCACGCTTTTTCCTAATGGAAAATGAGAATGAGATGTAATCATCTCGTCTTGAGTATCCAGGAAGGTTATAATTATACAATACTTCGTGTTTTTCCACTTCCTGTACAAACTTAATATTTATTAACTGATCACTCATTTTCAACAATCCGAAAATTTGCAGCCCTAAACAAAACCACGCAAAATAATAAAAATGTTCCCCAGAATTGCACAACCTCAGTTGTTCTCGACCAGCAAATCAGGTTGCAAGCGACTGAACTAAGACTGATTTCAAATCGCTCGCATACCGGTCGAGCCGTGTGCGGCGTTCTATTCACTCATGTTAGCGGATCGCTGAGCAGTTGGTCGCGCAACCTTTCGACAACTACGATTGCATATCAGTCGTGCCATGTGCGGACGGCCTAAGTCCGGGTGGGTCGCAGTCGCACAAGTGTATACTCGCGACGGCTGCTAGCTCGAAACAGTGGCGTGCTGTTTATTTATAGTGGATACCGAATAAAACCCGATGCACGACATCGATCTGTAGCTGTGCGCTGTTGCCAGAATTTGCACATTTTCTTTTAAGCATCCCACAAACCGGCGCGAAATAATCGCGGCGAAGTATTCGCAACGAAATTCAGAGCGAAATTCGCAATCTGTTACGCCTGTTTATTCATACCAAAGCGTCTTATTCGCTCCGCGAACGTGAAGGTTTCGACAGGTTGCGTACATTTTATTTTTGCCTTTTGCAATGAGCTCGTCTTCAGAAGAAGAGGAGGCACTTCTATTTCTTGCTTTAGAAGAGGAACAAAATGCACGGTAAGTTATGTTTATTTAACGCCATTTGATAGTTTGATGTATTAAGTTTAACGAAGTACATAAAACAAATATTTTCAATTTTGTTTAGGAAATTAAGGAAGTGGGTACATGATATTAACTTGGAACGAAATAAATTTGGGGAATACCATACCTTGATGCCACAACTTCGGCTGGATGAACAGGGCTTTAACGTATATTTTAGAATGATTCCAGAGTGTTTCGATAAAATATTGAACTTGGTGAAAGATGAAATACGAAAATCTGACACAAATTATCGTGAAGCTATTTCGCCAGAAGAACGACTTGCTATTACACTCAGGTAAAAAAATTATATGTATTAAAATTAGTAGGCTTATCGAATACGAAAACTTCAGGGATCGTGAAATAAATATTTTATTGTAATAATTGGACTACATGTTGCCACTAGGATTAAATGTTGCTAAATAATTCGAGGCAGAATTTGCCTCCTCTCTTGGGTATATTATTGGAGTAAACCCAGTGCCGCTTGGGAAGGACGACATACTACTATCATACATACTTGCAGAATTCTGGGTAGATGCTGAAGACATTTCTTCAATATGTTCAAATTCTTCGTGCGCTATTAAATTCGGCTATTTTTAGTTTTATTCGGGCTTGACGCTTTAAGGGAAGTGTTTTCACAGTCTGTGCATGTGCCAAGAAAAGTGAATCAATGGCCTCGTTCTCTTTTTTAGGTTTTTTACCTTCAAAATAATTAATGAGCTGTTGTACAGACGAAGATGGTGGTTCAAAGCGTTTTCTGCTCGTTTTATATTTTGGTGTAGTTGCAGTCTGCGGAAAGGTGTGCCCTGGAGTAGTCACTGCTGTAGTGTTCAATGAAGGAGGTGGTGCTGTCTGTGTTTCCGAGACGTTCTGTGCATCTTCTGCATCTACATCAGCATTTTCATCTTCTCCATGGCCGCGGTCTTCAAAATTTTCGGTTTCTACATTTCCAGCCCTTTCCTAATATATATTTGAGTTAAATTCGGCAGTCTCATAATGTATGACGTCAATATCTTTCACATTAGACGACGTTTTGGCAAATGCCAAAAAAGGACGGAAAAATTCCATGTAGTCAGCCCACTCCCATTTTTTTATGTTGCCCACTGCTTGGCCGGTCTTTGGTTTGGTAGATTTTATATATTTTGCAAATGTGTCTCTGATATTCTTCCACCTTTTTTTTACTTCATCACCTAAAAAAGATTTTTTTTATAGATTCCTTGCGACTGGTGACACCTTCTATACCATTGGGCATAGCTTTCGAGTTGGCTTTACAACAGTGAGTGCAATCGTAACCGAAGTCTGTGAAGCGATATGCAGACATATGGAGCATATATATTTACCAGAACCAACAGAGAATATATGAAAAAAATGTGCTGAAGAATTTGAAAATAGGGTAATTCGGGGAGTGATGGCGCACCTTTTTCTTTAACAGCTGTATAAATCGAAAGAAAGACCAAATCATACTCAAAACTTAAACTTTTATTCTTTGGTTATCAAGCAACAAATATCAAACACATTATTCAAATTAGGAAGTATACAGAAACATAAAAAGCTAGCTCTAAGGACATTATACAAAAATCCATCTAACCCGGAAGATGCGGTTGAGATGGCGCAGCTATTTCGGGTGAGATGGCGTACACATAGTAAGATAAAATATTTACTTCTTGGCATTGAATTCGTTATTCAAAACTGCTTTTGCACACCCGTTGCATAACTCACTATAACGTGAACATGTTTCGTGGTACCAAGACAAACATCGGATACATTTTAGCCAATCATCAGGCTTTTTTGTTGTGGCATATGCCTCATTACAACCTCTACAGCACTCATCTTCTGAGCCTTCTGAAGAAGAATCATGTAAAGACACATCCGCTTCTGATTCTGAAGAAGTGTTTTCAACCAAATTTAATTTTCGACGGCGCCTACTACCCTTTTGTGTTTTCTCATTTTTATTTTCCACTTTCCTTGTTACAATTTTCCTTGGATGTTTTTCCTGCTTAGATTTTTTGTTTGTAATACTTTCAGCGGAGTTGAGTATTGACGCCACTTGTTTGCTGCGTTTTCTAACTTGCTGAACAGGTGTACTAGTACACGGTATGGGAGAAATATTATTTAACATTTTGCCAGGCGTCAGGTTATTTTTAGGAGGGCTTTCTGGTGGGGGAAGACTGTCCTTTGAACATCCTGGTTGAGGGTGATCCAGAATACTTGCTTGAGTTGTTATCTCTTGTTCGTTATTATTGCAATTATTAACATTATCCTGAACATCTGTGGTCTCCGACAAAAATGCTTCATCCGGAATTGCTTCAGGATTAAATGGTACGATACCTGTTGCCTTAAAGGCTGCCACAGCATTACTTACTGTGGCAGACTTGACCCACGCCGACGCAAGAAGTTCTCCAAACTGAAGCCGTGTCAACCTTCTTGTAGGGTTATTTTTTATATAAAGATTGCACGCTCTGTAATAGTTCATTTTTAATGACTTAAAAAACCCCCTATCCAACGGTTGCAGAAATTGTGTCGTATGACTGGGTAGGCATACAAGGATGATATTGTTACTGCTGGCAAACTCGAGCATTTCAATGTTGTTACAATGTGATCCATGTCCATCCAGCAAAAGAATAACCGTCCCAACTGGTTTCCTTGGTAGGAATTGTTCTTTTAGCCAAAGGTAAAAGAGAGCACTATTGATGTAGGCGGATTTTTCATTCATGTAGACTTTTGACCCCGGTGGCAGACCGTCTTCATACTCAGCTTTCTTATTTTTGCCCTTCATAATGCAGGTAGGGGGAATATATACACCTTCCGCACTAAAACATGAAATAACAGTAATGGTCTCTCCCTTTTCCGCAGCGGTGATGCTAGCTACATTCTTAGAACCTTTGGCAGCAACAACGAATCCGGGTTTGTTATTCAATTGCATTCCAGTCTCGTCCACGTTGAAGATGTGGCTATGCTTTTCAAAGAGTTGATTTTCTGCAAGGACTCTTTCCAAAAGCTTAAAGTAGTCAGCAACCTCTTTGCGTCTCATTCCTTGAGCGCGCGCAAGAGACACTCCTTCGGACTTTCGAACTGACAAACCCGGATGACGCGATAAGAATGAATGTAACCAGTCATACCCTGCTTTTCCAGATTCATGATTGAAGCGGTGCTTTATTTGCAACTGTTCAGCCAACTTAAAGGCCATAACACGGACGTCTTCTCGAGTAGGAGCAAACCCATGTGCTTGTAGCTTTTTTATGTGTGTCACAATCTTATTTTCATTTTGTATGCCTAGACATGCTGACGGCCCCTGAGGTCCCACTACCAGATTACCAGATTTCTTTCGTCTTCTTAAAGTGGTTGCTGGAACATTAAAATGTCTTGCAGCTTCATTTACACCCATGGAGTTATTATTCACAGCAGCAATGGCTAGCAGTAACTGTTCCTTGGTCCATTGTCCACGTAAAGACGTACTACGCCTATTGTATTTCGTCGGCATGGTACTGGAATAAAAAAATATATAGGTATTCAAAGCTCCAACTCACCCGCAGTTTAGTGCACCGTCTCACCCAAAAATGCCGGGTGAGATGGCTCACTTAATTACTAAAACTGGCAACGACTAAAAATCTTCGTGCTAGGTTAGAATCACTCCTACAAGCGGCTGTAGCAATATTATGTCACTAAAAATGAATTTAATCATGGAATAACTTACCAGTCTCTTGTTGATCGTACCGTGATGCAAAATTTTGCAAATTCACGATTAGTTTTCTTGCTTCCGCCACTCCAATTATCGTGAGAAACCACTTTTTCCGCCGTACATTACTTATTTCTAGGAGTGTTTATAACATAACTAACATGTCGTGTCTTGATGTTAAACATGTTGCCAAATATAGCGCTGCGCCATCTCATCCGGTGCGCCATCTCTCCCGGAATTACCCTAGATGGGGATTTCCCAATTGCATTGGCAGGGTGGACGGTAAACATGTAACAATCAAGAGACCTAACAACAGTGGCTCCAATTACTGGTGCTATTTACATAAATATTCAATAGTACTTATGGCCATTGTTGGCCCGGACTATAAATTTATATGTGTTGATATTGGTGGTTTCGGAAAAAATAGTGATGGGGGTATTTTCGAAACCTCAAACAAGCGATTTGAACAAAATTTAGTGAGTGTCCCTGCATCTAAATTTCTCCCTGGGCAAAATGAAATCTGCTCGTACGTCTTAATTGGTGATGAAGCATTTGCTTTAAAACCATACCTTATGAGACCATTTCCTTATAAGCAGACTTTAACAGACGTCAGAAAAGAGAAATACAATGTAAGACTTTGTCGAGCTAGAAGGGTCGTGGAAAATGCGTTTGGTATTTTGTCTCAAAAATGGCGAATATTTTACAGGCCATTAGAAACTAAAGTAGATACTACTATTCTAATTGTACGTACGGCATGTGTTTTACACAATTTTTTACGAAGTAAAAGTGGCGATGACAAATATTTTCAATTCTTAGATCCCCCAGAACCCGTGCTTGGAGCTTTTACTGATATAGCAAATGATCCTCGGCGGGCAGCAAGGCTAGCATTTTCTACTTGTGACAAATTCGTAAATTATTTTAATTCTGATATGGCTATGCCCAATATATAGAATGTTCGTTTTCACATTTGTGTAGACTGTAAATTATTTAACAAGTTAATAAAAAATATTAGGTACATACCATTTGTATTTAATTCTTTTCCTATTTCCATCCAAATCTTGTCTTTCTTTCTCACATTCCTGTATTCATCGTTCGACAAATAATACAAACAAGGATACTTTTTCACTATTTCTATCAATAATTCCGTTTTTGCCATTGCGAATTTTTGAAGAACGGCGTCAAACACGCGGTCAAAGGCGAACTGAAATACGCCGCGATAAAAACGCTGGAACAATCGCATTCGCTTCGCACAAGTCTGAGCCTGTCCGTAAAACGCCGCGTTTTTTTTCGCGCCGGTTTGTGGGATGCTTTAAGCAAATAAATTTAATAAAATAAATTGTTTATATATACCTACCATTTACTATAATACCATTATATTAAAAATAAATAAACTTGTTGTAAAATTAAATTCCTTTCTGAATAAAAACACCTGATTTGGTAGATATTCAAAAACACAAAATATTTAAAGAACATAAATTGTTTTCTCGTATTTTAATTAATTTGATTATTTATTTATGATATGGGAACTACAACACTTTTTCAATTCACATCAAAGAGAAGAAAGAACTCGGGTGATGCGATGTTACACAATACCGGCAACTAGCGGCAAGGAGTACTCTTTATCGAGCCTGATATTTGTTTAATACCTTTAATTATATTGGAATTATACCAAGGTGGATACTTGTGACAATAATTTTTGTATACAGGTATATGAGTATCAAAAGTGATGTACAATTTTTCATAAAAACGATCTACTGCGATATCTATATCATCAGAATTCACAGTCGAAGTCCAATTTATTGATAGGAGTTCTCTATACAGTGAAGGAAAATCGGCTTTTCTAAAATTGTATACCTTATTCGTTAAATTATAGCGAAATTTAGCCTCCCTTACAAATAAATTTGGTATACTAATTAACAGTGCCGGATGATGGTCATCCTCAGGCACCATAGGTGTGGTGTCATGAGCTACTACACAAGAGTAGTGAGATATGACCAAATCAAGCAACCGATTAAATCCATTACGGATGTCGTTATACTGTCTGAGATTAAACAAGGCCATATGGTTAAGTACAATTTCTGTCTTAGCATCAGAAGGTTTATTCACAACAAAATGCGGGACATTAAAATCACCCACTAGGACTGTGCTATTGTTGTTTAAATAATCCAGTTGCTCAAAGCACTCAAAAAATGACTCAAATTCCTCAAGTCCTATTTTGTCAGGCATATACAAAGTGGCTATATAAAAAGTTTAAAATTCTACCTTACACTTAACAATTAGCAGATCAATATACGGAAAAATGAGTATCAAAAGCTGCTACATCTATCACTTCTGAGCTTATAAAGTCCTTTAGAGTCAATATAACACCCCTACCAGACGATTTATTAACTCTATCAAATTTACGGTCTTTTCTGTACACACTATAGACATTTGGAAAAAAATCAGAATCGGAAACACCATCACTTAACCATGTCTCAGTTAATGCCACGATATCAAACTCACACTCACATGATGAAGAATAGAAAGTATCAGCCTTGCTGTTCAGACCCCGAACATTTTGATTATGATGATTATGATATTATGTATTAATAAATATTATCATTATTATTATTAAGTCTAATAGTTGCGAAGAATCACTGAGTTGGAAGTTTATTAATACATACATTGTTTGAGCGGTTTTTATTTTTACCGTTTTCTCCGCCGCTACGGGAGCGATTTTCAGAAACTACAATGCTTTTTTGTCTTAGCAGAGTAGCAACCTAGTGTAAAAATATCTTTCAATGCTGCTCTCCTTCCGTTAGTGATGCGCGGGAAGTGAAAGAGAAACGAAAAAGGAATCGCGTTAACACTATGGACCGATTAAATTTGAGATATAAACGCGGAGTTTGGGCATACAAGGGTAAGGTACTTAACGCAGAGAAACGCACAGCAATATTTTTCAAAATATGTATTCTGTTAGTGTACAGTTTTTTCCCACCTCTACAAGTACAAGAAGCAAAAACTTGGGGGAACTGCACTTTCCCTTTTTGCAACAGTCTGTTTGTAGATGTACCTTTAATAAATGCCTTTAGATTGATTCTTTCTTAGTGTATACACAGATGACTCGAAAACTATATATTGGTCTTGTTTGCCATAAAATGCATTTCTTTTGTACATTCTACATGCATCTTCTTATCTTCAGATAAAAAGTATTAAGAATACCCCTTCAAACAGACTGTTGAAAAAAGGGATGTGCGACCTTGAAGGGATTGGTCAAGTTGTTTGCTTAACAGATTTTTTAACTTTATATATTTCATTTTTCACGCAATATTTAATATCAGTCCATCTGCGATGTTTTAATATTGGATTTTCTGACTGGCATGCCTCACAGTCCTTCTTTCCAGGTACAATGCTATTTTTTGATGTTGATGCGGAAATACCGTATGACAGCCTTCTTTTCATCAGTTTTCCATGGAGTTCTCTGGCATTTGCGTTTCCTAGACACTAAAATAATTTGATACATTATGTTACTTATCTCGAATTTTGGTTCTTGATAATGTAAACTATAATTATTCGTTTTTTAAAGCCATCATCAGCATGAAAAAAATAATTCTTCATAATATGTGAACCTTTTTATGAGACTTTTGAAACTCATATTGCGATTCTCTTCTGATTTATCATATATTTTGTACTATGGTCTAAAATGTCACATATTGCATGGTAGCAAAGCGCTAAAAGAAGGTGAAATATACAAATCCTATCTGTTACAGTAGGCATTCTTGGCATTATTGCTATTGGTTCAACTGTTGGTTCGTTTTGTGTTACTGAACTGTTATCCGGACCATTCTCATTTAAAGTTTGATACTCTTCTCCCTCTTCCTCTTCTTCTTCAACTTCTGGTAACTCTAAATCAAGAGTGAGAGTTTTTCTACTTTGTTATCGAAGATACAATTTTCTTTCACAATATTATAAACGGCAGGATTGATGGCGATGCATTAACAGCCTTGTGAAAATGATAACAAATATGAATGTTAATCCTGAAACTTAATTTTAATCTCTCTTATCCATTGCACTCATCCTGCCCAACAGTGATATATGCTGAAATATTTATTTATTGACGTTTTGGCTAACTTATAAAGCTTTTAGTTCACACGCCATTAGGCAAGGGAAGTACTGTAACCACGAATAATTTCGATTTAGACAAATGTTTCTTGTCCAGTCTGTCTGCCGGTCAATGGGCAACCCTTGGAGCCTTTATTACTAGGTAAGTATGAAATTCTGACACAAGGTTGCTACTGTACCAAGAACGAAAAAGCTTTTTAGGTTACAAAAATCGATTCATTATCGGCGGAGTTATAAGCGAAAAACAGAAAATTCCAGAACATACACAAATTCGTATTTCTCCGTTTCTAAATTTTCATGGTCCAAAAATGTCTTTGAGAGGTTGCAATTTAAAAAAGACAATTTTCATTTTTTGACGCTTTTCGACTTTTATTATTAGAGCTTAATCAAAAAAGTTCAAGGAATTCAAAAAAGTATTATTTTTCAAGTTGCACATATTACTATCTACTTAACCCTTTTTTCGCGTACATCCAGAATAAATACAAATATATAATCATAATAATTAGAATTAATTTTAGAAATTTCATCGGGTCAGAAGCAGTCGAAACGTTGGAAATATGTGTGATTCTCATTTTCAATATTGACCAGAATGAACCAATGGATCGAATATGAATGGGCACCAATAATATACTGACCTCCTAATTTTATGTCCTTGAGAGATTGGCCCGCAAATTTATTAGCTTCGCCCGTATCGACGGCCATGAGAAGCCGGCTCACTTTTGTTAACTCCACAACATCTTTATGAAGTCTATAAAATTCTCTATGAAATTTTATATCATGACCCAAATGACGAGCCAACCAATCATATTCGTTTTCTTGCAAATCAAATATCTGGCATACTGTCACAACGTACTTCCGTAGTTTTGTACTGGTAATGAGATCTGGTCTTTCAAGTTGTTCAACTTCTCTTAGGATATCCCTTAGGACAGCTGACCCTCGCATGTGAGTCAGTTCTTGCGACTTAGTAGCAAATATATAAGGATTTTCACCAACACCAGCTGCTTTGCTTCGGAGATTAAATAATACATCAATGGCCGTTCTAATCTGTGGTGTTAGGAGTACTGGTAGCAATCTACCTTGTTTTCCAATTATGTTTACAATAATATGCCTTTCGGCCAACTTGACCTCGTACGGTGTCAAACTATTTTTCAATTCATCTGTTGTATTTTGCTGCCAAAGTGGACGACTATTAAGGTGGCCCTAGACGGTCAATCATTTTGATCAAATGCTTGAGTCAATCGATTGACGTGTGCTTCAAGCAACCCACAGTCGTTTGTTCAAAACACATTTTGCTGTGGTACTTGGTGCTGTTCGTTTGTATTATTTTTATACCGTGTGTTTCGTGGCTGAAACAATGGTTTCAAATACAGATATTGGCTTTATCGCCTTGACTTTAGCGATCGCACTGAAGCAGAAGAAGAAGAGGAAACGAAGGTGGTCAAAGGAATGGTACAAATTGAGAAACCGCTTTACTCACGAACATTCAATAAACGTTCTACGTGAAACGGAACCAGAAGACTACAGAAACTTTCTCAGAATGAACGAAAAAAATTTCGACCATTTATTGGATTTGGTACGACCAAAAATAGAAAAAAAGGACACTGTTATGCGAGAAGCGATTCCTGCAACTCAGAGGCTAAGCATCACATTGAGATACCTAGCTTCTGGCATGGATTTGGAAGATCTGAAATTCATGTGTGCCATTTCTCCTCAGAGTCTGGGACTCATCATTTTGGAAACTTGCTCAGCAATTATCGACGCATTAAAAGATAATATTCAGGTATGTATTGTTATTACATTCCGATTAATTAACACATATCAATTTGAAAAACAGAAATTTAAATAAACAGAAATGTCAGTACAATAAAAATGAAGCTAATAAAATAAAAATGCAATGTTTCACAAATATGATAGAGAACGAAATTCCAAAATTATAATACGTACTAAAGAAAAAGTAGGCACCTTCCTGTTACAATGAAAACTAGAATACATAATAACATAATTTTACATTGAAGAAAAATTTGAGATAAATTCTGCTGCATTCGTTTCCTTCGAATTTTCTTCAATGGGTGTTGCTGGGAACGTTCCGTTGGGAGTGGGGGTCCCACTTGAAGATGCACTGTAATTTGTTTGTGCTGAAGGCATGTTGTATGGTAGGTTAGAGGACATAGGATAATTGTGATAAGTTGTTTGTGAGGGTGACGATGAGGACGGCGAAGGTGTCCAAAGTAGGTGCGAAACAAAACGTACTCCGTCCCTTGTCAAGGTGCGCATTTCTGCTTCAAAAAGCACATCATTGATGATTTTTTCTGCAAAGCGTCTTTGATCTGGACGTAACTTTTTCAATTTCATTGCCCAGCCTTTAGCTAGTATGTCCTCTTCGGTCTCAGGCCGCTTAAAATACTCTAGCCAGTCCCACTAGTTGTCCAGTAGGATCTGGCGGAACTTTTTTTTTCTTATTTCGAGAATGAACTGTTGATTCGGCAGCAGGTGGTGCAGTTGGAGTAGAAGAAAGCGCTGCACTTCCGGAACCGTGTACTGGCTGAGAGTCCTCAGTTAAGGGTGTCTAAAAAAAAGAGAAATAAAAAATAATAATAATAATAATTGAATAAATGAAAAAAACAGGTTGCACAAGATTTTGAAGAAAAATGGAACTTTCATAACTGCGTAGGGAGTGTTGATGGCAAACATGTAGGGATCCAACAACCCTCCCATTCTGGGTCTTATTATTACAACTACAAAGGGTTCTATAGTATTGTGCTTATGGCTATTGTTAATGCAAATTATCAATTTATGATGGTCGATGTCGGAGCGAATGGGCGAGTGTCAGATGGTGGAGTGATGAAGGACACGTTATTTTGGCGCAAGTTGTCTGAGAACAAACTAAACATGCCTGATTCTCGTGAGTTACCAGGTACTAATGAAAAATTTCTGTTTGTTTTCATTGGTGATGAAGCTTTTCAGCTACTCCCTAATTTTATGAAGCCCTACAACAGAGCTGTTTTGACCGATGAAAAAAGGGTTTTCAATTATAGATTGTCCCGAGCACGGAGAATCGTAGAAAATGGGTTTGGGATATTAATAAAGAGGTTCAAAATCCTTCAAAATGACATAAAATTTGAACCAGATAAAGCTAGAAAAATTGTTTTGGCATGCTGTCATTTACACAACTACTTGTGCTCAAGAAATAGTGGAAACTATATACAATCTCATGACGTCGATAATGAGAATACTTCTACGGCTAATGTGGAACTTGGTTCATGGAGACAAGGAACTCAAGAGATGTTACGACTTCAAAGAACCAAAGGCAACTCGGCAGTTGAAGCAAAAAAAATAAGGGATGACTTTTGCGAATTCTTCAACACCTGCGGTTCAGTGCCATGGCAAAACAGGTACCTGAATAATAAGATTCAACAAATCTTAACAGAAGCATAGTATTGTGTAATAAATAAATAAAAATAAATAAGTAAAACATTTCTTTGAGTCATCCTGCATGATTGTGTTTACCTATGATGAATGGAAAACAGTAAGGTTACATGTAAAAAGAATTAGGTTACATAAACAGTATTTACAGACCGTAAAAGGATTTGGTTCCATAAATAGAATAGGTATGTACTGTATTTACTGTAATTCATAATTTCAAGGTTGGTAGATACGATGAAAAATTTTCTTACCTCTGAAGTTTCTGTTGGTGCGACTTCAATCTGACCTTTTATGAAAGAAAGTTCGTTATAGTACCACAGTGCCGGTTCTCGGATGTCATCCCCTGACGCCCCGGACAGTCTTGTTGCTTCGATTAACCTGAAATCCCTGTTGAAATTTCTTCTCAAACTATTAATTTTTTGCTTTAATTTCTTTTCATTGTAGTCCGGTTTCAGCGTTTTCAAAGCCCCCCACAATTTTTTCTAATGCTGCACTTTTTTTATTTCTATTAAAATAGTCTTTACTTTTAACTTTCCACAGCTCTGGACAGTCTCTATACAAATCTATAAGTAGGCTAGTGAATTCGCGATCTGGTTGCGAAATTTCCATGGTTGCTGACTGGCGCGTGACTGACGGAAAATTTGATCAAAACCCACGTAGACGATCAAGCGCCTTCTTCAAGCACTCCCGTCAATCAAACTTTCTATCAATCACCGTCAATGCTTGGCTCAAGCGTCAAACTGGTTCCTAGACGATCAATCTCGCTTGACTCAATCGATTGACTCAAGCATTTGATCAAAATGATTGACCGTCTAGGGCCACCTTTTTATATTGCTCTGAAGTCATTTTAGAGGCTTCTCCCACTCGTCGTTTGTTGAATAGTATAATCCGACATAGAACTAGTTTGGTCAGTCGACTCCAATGTTCTGGAGTAGGAGATTGTTCCAAATCCTCTTGTGCTTTCTTTAAGTGGGTTTTAATATAACTGTTGCATTTCAAAAGGTCATTTGTTACTGGTAACAGTTGGCCAGTGTTAAGTTTTCTTTTATATAAGGTAGATAACGCATTTCCTGAAATTCATATCTGCCATTCGAGGTCCATCAAGTTACAAAACGCCAAAAGAGAAGCAATTCTAGTTAAATTTTCGTTTCTCAGTGCTACTCCTCTTTCAATATTTGCGCATTTCCTTAAAGAATGGCCTAGTTTTAACGCCAGTGAAGGAGTTCTGAACTCAGGTCTTTTCGATCGATCAATCTGTTGTGCCTTACAGAGATGTTTCACTCCTTGGACGACAATGTCAAATCTCTGAGGTGTTAAGAGATATGTTAGACCTAAGTTAATTGATGTTATCTCTTGCACAGTTATGACTAATCTGGCTAGCTGCCGCATATTCTGCCTTTTAAGCTCACTCTGAGCAGCTCCATATTTTTCGAAGTACAGCACCAAATTTCAAAATAAGATTGTCGTCTTTACAGACTATGCCCTCTTTATCGTCACGGAGTACAGTTATAATGTGTTTTTTGTATTCACTAGTAAGTCCTGAACCGAATACGTTACTTAAGATAGCATTACTTCCGGCAATAATGTGCCTATTAGCTTGTTCTAGATCTTTGTCCTGCATGTATCCTGTATTTTTTGTATCGCACTTTGTTTTCAAATGATGCCAAAGATTTTTCTTTAAAAAAAATCCTAGTGAGATGACTTCGCAGTTATAATAATGAAAATCACCAGCTCTCGTTAGTAGTAGAACAACATCGATTCTAACTCACTTGGTAACCCATCCATCAGGTTCTGTTCTGTTTGCCCTCTATTTGACCTTGGGTATCTGAAGACTTTGCAGACATGCATATCTGATCAGCAACTACAACTGGTTCATTCTGGTAGCACGTTGTTAGGGTAAAAAACTGAATGGCTAAAACAGCAGCAGCAATTTCAACTAAATCCAGACAATTCATCTCTGTTCTTCCTTTGAATGGTATATATGTATATATATGTATTAAGTCTCATACTGTCTTTTTATATTGTCCGAAAGGGTAGGAGGAGGAGGAGGAGGAGAAGGAGGAGGGTGATAAATATTACTATTCTTCATTTAACAGCCAAATTGTAAACGTTTCACAAACAGAACAATATTGCATTTTTCTTTGTCGTATGTTTGTGTATTGAAGAGTCACTTGTATGGTGAACTCAGTATTTTTCCAGCATGAAACGTAAATATATGAAGGCATTACTTGTTGTTGTACTAATCACTAGCAGCGTATTAATCAACAGCATGAACCAACTAGATTATTATAACTAGTAACGCAAACGATAAAATATATCAGTTCAGTTATCACTCATGTGCTATGAAGTATTACGGTGGTGAAGGCTTACTGAATACAGCTATAAATAATTTACCTGTAGAATTACACCTCCCAACGTACAGATACTGTGGTCCTGGCACTAAACTTGCTGAAAGGTTAGCCAGAAATGATCCAGGTGTGAACTTATTGGATGAAGCTTGTAAACAACACGATATATTTTATTCAAAAGAAAAAGATCTGAGTAATCGGCATTTGGCTGATAAGGTGCTGGCAAAACAAGCAATGAATAGGTTTCGTGCAAGTGATTCGTCTTGGAAGGAGAAGGTCGCCGCTTTAGCTGTAGCAGGTGCTATGAAAGCTAAAGTAAAACTTGGAATGGGCTTAAAAGAAACCTCTCAAAGGCACCAAAAACGTAATATAAACAATTGTTTGAAGAAATTACATAAATTAGCGAAAGAATTACAGGGGTCTCAAAAACTGGTTCAAGACTCTGTACAGATCCTACAAACTGAACAATCTCAAAAAGCTCAAAAAAATATACTTGCGAAGGTTAAGGAGAAAAGTAAATCTAGTGAGAAAAAAGTACGAGAAGTGAGATAAATCAAGAAACACGAAACCAAAAATTACTCTGTAGTAAAACATGAAACATTCAAAGTAAAGCGTGAACGAAAAACAAAACCTAATGTTAAAGAGAATAAACGTGGCAGAAAACCAAAGTCTGCTTTAGAAAGCATAAATGAAAAAATCAAGAGAAGAAAAAAACCAAAGACTCCAATTGAATACATGGACACTGATATAACAGAAGAAGGACAAAAGAACAAACCAAAAAAGAGGAAACTGGATTCAGCCTTTACTACTACTCGTACTTCATTGAATGATGAAAAAGTGAAAAAAAGAAAAATAGATTTGGATGATCCAATTATAATTCCTGAGAAAAAATGCAATGCAAAACGTAAGAGAGAATCTGATAATGAAGAAAACGAACAACAACAACGCAAGTTAGATATGAGTGACGTAATTCCACATCCATGGAAACAAAAAAATAGAAAACGGAAGATTCAACCAGATAATGATAATGATCGTGATAATGATGATGATGAAGATGATGATGATGATAGTAACATACCTAGGAAAGTTAAAGTTATAAATACCTAGTAATCTACACATCCAAATTCAGTAATGAAAATGGTACGTAAGAAGAATGTCAGTCCTAAGAAAAGAGCTACAATTGACCGACAACAACAACAACAACAACGATCACAGCATCAGAAAAAAAAAATAAAGACTAAGAGGAAAACGAAAAGTATATCGAGCAGTAAAATAAAAAGAAGGAAAGTTAGCTTTTCTAGCGCAATTAAACAAATAGGGAAACGTGTGGTAGATCAAAAACCTACTACCTTTGGAGAAGCAATACTTGTAGCGTTGAGGGAGGCACAAAATTTGAAAAAAGGTGTAAAAAAGCCGCCAAATCGTATAGTGAAGATACCGAAGAAAGGAGGTATACTACCACTAATCCCAATTTTTGCTGGCCTATCAGCCCTTGGTGCTTTGTCTGGTGGTGCTGCTGGTATTGCTAAGGCTGTCAATGATGCAAAATCCGCAAAGCAGCAATTACAAGAATCATAATAAAATGATGGAAGCTGTAGCACTTGGAAAGGGAATGTTTTTGAAACCCTATAAAACGGGAATGGGCCTTTTCCTGAAACCATACATCAATTAAAACCAGTAGTGAGATAAGGGAAAATGTCACTGAAAAAAACAAAACAAGTGACTAAAGTTTCAATTCCAAATGGTCACCCATTAACAAACGTTGAGCTGGAAAGGTATGCAAAACGTTTAAAAATACCGTATTTTCGAGGAGTCTTCATGCGAGATAAACTTCCAAAAAAAGTAAAAACCAATGAAAGAGGAATTATGAATTTGGATACATCTACGGGACCAGGTACCCACTGGACTGCTTATAAGAAAAAGGGAAACTTAGTGGTTTACCTGGATACATATGGAAACTTAGAACCACCATTCGAAGCAATTGTATATTTTAATTCTAGTGGACCCTGTAGAGTACAGTACAATTATAATGTATTTCAAAGATTTAATACTGTAACTTGTGGTCAATTGTGTTTACGTTTTCTCAAAAGTGAATAAATACTGCTTACCATAATGACACTTGTTTATTTCATGTATGGCTATTCATCGGTTCATATCTGTATGATGTATACGTTTACTTTATCTGCTAGAGAGTCTGTGTTATCAGCTAAAATCTATCCACCTATAGTACTCGACAGTAGTAAAACGTATGCTTTAGGACTTGATTGATTTTTTAACTTTCAACACAATACCCAACATAGATATAACAAATAATAAGTTCCATATTGATGATGAGGTTTTAACAGTTCCCGAAGGTAGTTATGAAATAAAAGACATTATAGCATTTCTTAACGAGAGAATAAAACCAAGGGTAAGTGAAATTAAAAAAAGAAACCACAGAAACGATCTCTAAATTCAAATGCAATTACCAAAGATGATGAGAAACAAACTGACATACAACTCCATATGCGAAGTAATTTAAATACCTTACGGTTTGAAATTAAAAGCAACCGACTAATTGATTTTGAGCAAAATGGTACAATAGGTGAGTTATTAGGGTTTAGAAAGAGGAAATTAAGTCCACACAAACTACACATCTCAGACTTTCCTGTAAATGTTTCCAAAGTGAACTCTATATGTGTGGAATGTAATCTGATAACGAATTCTTTTAGAAATGATCATGCTGTTCACACGTTGCATATGTTTTACCCTAACGTGCCTAGTGGATATCGCATAATAGAAAAAGTATCAAATGTCATCTATTTACCAATAAATAGCCATTATATCGATGAAATAGTGCTTAAAGTAGTGGATCAAGACGGAAATTTGGTTAATTTCAAAGGAGAAGTGATAACAATAAGAGTACATTTGAGGGAGCTTTAGTATGGTATTCTTTTACAATATTGCAGTACCGTTTAGTTCAGCTAACAACAATAGCACCAACAACAGCAATTTTAAAGGTCAAAACAGATCAACACCTATTGATAAAGAGATTCATGTTGGTAAAACAGTTAGTAGCAAACAAGAGAGCAAGACATTAACATCTGAAAATATACAATTTCTACAGTTGCTTGGCTTTAAGGTGATTGCATAAGTGTGGCTAACGAATTTCAAGAACAAACAGTCAATAGTGACATTAATAGTAGCAACAGCAGCAGCAGGACTGCCGGATTGATATTACGGATAAAACTAGCAATTTATTCTGAACTACAAAAGTTATTCATCCATCTCAAGTGTAGCTGTTTGCTAAAACAAAGAAAAAAAGATGAGCTTTAATATTCTCAACATAGGTGAAAATATTCTTATGGATAATTCAATTACCAATTGTGAAATGTATAGCCATCCACCATACGCTAATACAACTTTCAATAATTCAGATGAAATAAGAATACCAATACAAACACAAGATATCTATACACTACCTTGTAATAGCTCACTGTACATTGAAGGAAGATTAGTAGAGGCAAAGGAGAAGAAATGGTCACCAACATTACGCCTCGTAAATAATTTTGTATCATTTTTATTTGATGAATTGCGATATGAAATTGGAGGTATAGTTGTTGATAGAGTTCGCAATCCTGGTATAACAACCACCATTAAAGGACTGGTATCTTTCACAAACAATGAAGGTAATAGTTACCAACATGCAGGCTGGAATCATCAAGACTTACCCGAAATACGGAACAGTGAAGGTTATTTTAGTGTAACGATTCCACTGAAAAATCTCATGGGTTTTTTGAAGACTTTAGAAAAGTACTAATCAACATCAGACAGGAATTGGTCCTTATAAGAAGCTCCACAGATGTGAATGCAATTATAACTTCAACATCTAGCGAGAAACCTCATTTAGATCTGTACAGAATACTATGGAGAATTCCACACATTCAAGTTGCTGATACCGAAAAATTACACCTTATGAAGTACATAGAGAAAGGAAGAGATTTACAACTAGCATTCCGGAGTTGGGAGTTGCATGAGTACCCCGTTTTACAACAGACAAATAAACATACATGGAATGTCAAGGCTACCAATCAATTGGAAAAACCACGTTTCGTTATTGTTGCTTTTCAAACTGATCTGAAAGGACAGCTGACTAAAAACTTGAGTCACTTTGATCACTGTAACCTGAGCAACATCAAATTATTTTTGAATTCTGAAATTTATCCATATGACAATGTAACTTTTAATATGAGCAGAAATTATTTTAGTATCTTGTATGAAATGTATGTGAACTTTCAGCAGTCTTATTATTATAGAAATTCCAGTGAGCCGTGTCAAAACTTGAAACAGTTCATTGATGCAACCCCGCTTTTTGTTATTGACTGTAGTAGGCAAAACGAGACACTAAAATCGGGTTCTGTTGATATTAGATTGGAATTTGAAACGGCAGTAAATATACCACCTAATACTACTGCCTTTTGTCTGATATTACATGATCGTCTTGTAAAATATAATCCTTTAAATAGTACTGTAAAAGTTTTTTGAAAAATATGTTGAACTTGTATTGTATAGAAACAGTGTGTATGTGTGTATGTATGTATGTATGTATGTGTGTGTGTGTGTGTGTGTGTTTTTCTGTGAATAAAACATTAGTTGTGAAGAAATCAGTTTTTTATTCAAAATATATTTTGTGACAATAATAATATATCATCATCATTATCACCACCACCACCACTACCACCACCACCACGTCTACCAGTTGAGGTTGATGCTGCTGATGATGATGGTGTTGCACCAACCGTATGCATCTGCCTGGGCTGCTCCTCATGCTCTTCCTCCTTCTCCTCCTCATCCTCTTCCACATGTTGCAGGACAGGTGGCTCTAGATACAATTTTCTCTTCTTCTGCATACTTCCACCACCACTTGTCCCTGGTCGATCCTTTATCGCTTGCTGCCTATTAATATCTTCTAACTGCTCGTCTAATAAATTAAATCTATATTTTTTAACTATTCGTTCTAATACTTGGAATTCTGCATCTTTATCCAATTTAGTTCGAAGATATTTGATAGGCAGCAAGCCGAATTTCCGCTTTAACGTCGCTGCTCTTGGGGAGTAGGTCAATTTGACAAATATTTTGTCACCACTGGCTTTGATCTCTCTGACACCGTATCTGTTGAAAAAAAGAAAAAAGAATAAGAATAATATAATATGTGTATCTCAGACCTAAAAGTAAACTATTGTCGAATATCTGATTTAAATCTCCAATTGCAAATCGTGCAATAGCAATCAAATAAAACCATACAAAAAAAACCCTGTAAACTCATGTTTTTCTCGCAATAATACTTTTGTGACTTAACATAATTTAGCTCTGAGGATATGATGAATAGAACTTGATATCTACTGGCAGACCAGGTGATTGTTTTATTTCTTTTGGGATGCTTTAGAGTGTCTTCAAACATGATCCATCCATCCACAACATTACCATAATGTGCGGAAGGACAACAATAATAATAACACAATAGCAATAGCAAAACAGTGGAGAGAGAACAAAAGATAAATATATAATGTTACTTACTGAAATAATTCCTTTATGACCAACAAGAGGTCATTTATCGGTAAATTCACTGGATCTTCCGTGAACACAATTATGGTTGTTGGTGTTGTTGCCATTGTAAGTTAGAGTAGCAGTTCGATGAGTTTTTACTTGAAACTGATACTGACTGCCTACACACACTAGCAATTTATATAGATATTTGAGGAAAAAATCATCCATATCAACTGCATAGAAATGTAAGATGGATGTTATGATCAAACAAAATCGTAGGATTCCAGAATTGCATGATACCCAATGTCAGGAGAAGGACGACGACGGTAATCATCATCTACGTCATTCTCCATATCAAGGGAAAAATTAGATTTTTCTGCATGTGTGCATGTTTTTCCAAACAAAATTGATATCCAATGTCAGGACGAGGACGACGACGACGGTAATCATCATCTACGTCATTCTCCATATCAAGGGAAAAATTAGATTTTTCTGCAGATGTGCATGTTTATCCAAACAAAATATAGTATCTATTTAAGGTCAGGAGGAGGAGGAGGAGGGTCATCATCGTTATTCTCCATGTGATCTGCTGATGTGCGTAGGATGTTTTCCAAACAAAATCGTATGATTCAGTATCAGTGAAAAAAAAAATAGGCATGTTTGTTAGATTTTCAGTGTATTTAAGCCAGCATCTTGAGCACAGTTATCATCAGTGATCTCACGTTTAACCATCTGCACAGATCTCCGAAGAAACAAAATGAGTAGCCAAAAAGTAATCGATGCCATGTCTGACGAATTTGTTAGAAGAATAGAAATGGTGAGTAGATTAATTAGGACAAAAACAGATCACAATTTTTATAGTAAAGAGATTAAAAAATGTATTAGGATGCTTGATAATTGTATCAAACATAGGTATGATTGTGTTAAAAATTTTTCAAAAATAGAGTCTAATTTGTCACTTCTTAAGAGTTACCTTGCAATTTTCAGATGTCAAATAAATCGTAAAAACAAAAATAGAGAACTTGTTTGGGAAAATGTGGATTCATGCTTTAATAATAGAATTAAGTCAGGCGTTATAGTTAATTTGAAAATAAAAGATCCAAAATTATTTTTCAAGAGAGCATTCAAAAGTTTTGTGATACAAATAAGAAAACAGCTTGATACTTGTATGTTAAAATGTAACGTTGTTTTTTATAGTGTGTTCATTAAACCTCAGACTGCTGAAAGATCGATCAAACATTTTGCTACAAAAAATAACATAATCGATAAAAATACCAATTTAAAAGAGTGGTATATAAGTTTATGTCACTGATCAAGTTTTAACAAAATTAGAAGAATTCCAAGAACGTGATTCTGGATGGGCTTTGTTGGAAATTTTACATTTGAAAGTGAATATTAATAGATTTTGACCCATAAATGTTGGTGTTTCAACTTATGTTCCTACACCAACATTTATAAAAAAGAAAAAAAGTGTCATCAATATTCAAAATGATGATAATTACTGCTTTCTGTGGTCAGTAAGCGCGTTGTATCCTGCAGAAAAAAATGTAGCACGACAATCATCATATCCTCATTTCAGTAGAGTATTGAAATACGACAATATTAGATTTCCTATACATTTGAAAGATATACCCAAATTTGAGATTATGAACAAACTAGCGATAAATGTCTTCACACTCGTAGGCAATCGAATGAATGAAGTTGTACCATTGATACTTAGTAAAACTAATTTCACGCCTAAAATCAATTTACTTATGTTTTCCAATAATGACGTTTGCAATTGGAATGCTGACACTACTTATCATTTTGCGTATATAAAAAATTTGTCACGCCTAATATGTAGACAAATAGGTTGGAAAGATCACAAAAAATGGATTTGTGAAAGGTGTCTAAATTATTTTTCAAGTGAAGCTTATTTGAGTAAGCATTCTGAAGATTGTAAACAGCTTAACAGCACTAAGATCGTTATGCCTAATGCAACTAATAATATTATGAAATTTAAAAACTTTCACAATAAATTATGTGTTCCTTTTACCATTTATGCAGATATTGAAAGTATACTAATGGATTATAATGATAATGCTGATGATAATAGTGCAAGCAAGACACAAAAGTGTCAAAAGCACGTGGCTTTCAGCGTAGCTTATTATCTTAAGTCGAATTATGGAAATAAATATTCTTCCAAGTTTAGATTGCATACGGGTGCTGATTGTCAAAGTTGGTTTGTTAATGAATTGCTCAACATTGCCAATGAACTTCATAAAGTTTATCAGGAAGCAGAACCATTAAAACTGACCAGTGTTGAGCAGAAACTTTTCCGATTGGCTTCCAGTCGTAGTATTTGTGAGAAACCTTTTGATGAACACGAAGTGTCACTTCACAGGTAAATATAGAGGAGCAGTACATATGTCTTGCAACTTGAACTATTCAAATTCACTTATTGTACCTGTGTTGTTCCACAATTTTTCTGGATATTATGCACATTTCATAATCAAAGCTCTCAGTACTGATATCAAGGGCAATCTCACTTTATTACCTTTAAATAAAGAGCATTATATTTCGTTTACAAAATCCATTGCCGGTACTAAAATCAGTTTTCGATTTCTTGATTCCTTCCGGTTCCTACCTAGTAGTCTGGATAAATTATCATCATATCTAGATCATCATCAAAAGAAAATAGTAAGGGAACATTTTCCTGAAGATGCTAAGTTTAAGTTGGTAACAAAGAAGGGGGTTTTTCCTTATGAATATCTAAATCCATGGGATAAATTAAAAGATACAAAGTTGCCAGAAAAAGACGATTTTTTTAGCACAGTCAAAAACGAAGCTATTGCGACTGATGACTATCAGCATGCACTAAATGTTTGGCAGGCATTTAACATTAAAGATCTTCAGGAATACGCTGAATTATACTTAAAAACTGATGTTTTGCTGCTTTGTGATGTTTTCGAAAATTTCTGTCAAATGTGTATGCAGACATACAATTTAGATGCATTGCACTATTATACTACGCCAGGTCTAGCCTTTGATGCTATGCTTAAAGTCACTAATGTTGAAATAGAGCTGTTGACTGACAGTGATATGGCTTTGTTCATAGAAAAAGTATATCTCAATGTTCTAACAGGTACGGTAAGGCTAACAATAAATATATGAATAGTGAATATAATCCTGATTTACCAACTTCGTTTTTGATGTACTAGGATATAAATAACTTATATGGAGCTGCAATGTCACATTCTCTACCATATGGGGATTTTCAATGGATTCCAATTGAAAACATCTCTATTGAAAATATTTTGAGCGATGAGAAAAATGAATATGGAAAGCAAAGTAAAGCAAAGTAAGAATGATTTCGAGAAACATTTTTTCAAATTAATGAATAATTCCCCTTATGGCAAAACGATTGAAAATGTTAGGAAATATAAAGACATCAAGTTGGTAACTAAGTGGTCAGGAAGATATGGTGCAAGCTACTACATTGCACAACCTAACTTTCATAGCTCCACTATATTTAGTAAAGATATGGTCATAATTGAAATGAACAGACTGAAAGCTACATTAAACAAACAAATTTTTATAGGTATGTCAATATTGGACATATCTAAAACTTATATATATGATTTTCATTACAATTACATAAAACACAAATTCAAAGATGATTCAAAATTGCTATATACTGATACAGATAGCTTAATATATCAGTTTTCAAATATTGATGACATTTACGAACACATCAAAAAAGACATTGATAGGTTTGATACATCCGATTATCCAGAAAATAACGCTTTTAGAATTCCATTGAAAAATAAAAAAGTCTTAGGTTTAATGAAGGATGAAAATCAAGGTCGAATAATGACACATTTTATTGGGTTGCGTTCAAAAATGTATGCTTTGAGACTTCTACCTGAGCCAGGTGAAAAAAAAAGACTCGCATGTTATTAAAAAAGCTAAAGGAATTCAGAAGTCAGCTCTGAAGGAAATAACGTTTGATGATTACCATAAATGTTTATTCCAAAATACTCAAGTAGCTTTAACCAAACAGTCCATAATTTCGAAATTGCATGATGTATTCACAATTTCCCAACAAAAAATTGCATTGAGTCCATATGACGATAAAAGAATTGTCAACTATATTTATACAGACACGAAACCATGGGGATATCATGATTACTTTTAATTTCACTACATCTCATTATCTCTTTGTCTGTTTTTGTCCATAGAATTAATCTACAACCACGTTAACTTTAGCCACACACAATAAAATGTAAGTATATATATATGTATTCTTTTTTTTTTGTTTTTTGTAGAACGTGCTAAGTTCAAAAAAAAGATTTCAAAAAATCCACTACACGAAACCCAACAAACGAATACGACCAACGACTATTTCTAAGAGACAGTACAACAACAACAACACTCACTCAGGAACTCAGTTCTGTGACAATTGTGGACATTACTTTTGTTTTTGTAGAGAATCGGTGGCAAAGCATTCAATAGGACAAACGGCATCAGATCAGCAACAACAACAACAACAACAACAACAACTACTACATCAATACAAACAAGTGGAGCTGTATTGCGACGAGGAACTGCCCAAGTCCTAAACCAACAACAACAACAACAACAACAAAGGACGACTAGAAAGGATGTCTGATGAGCGGTGACGGCAAGAGAGCGGATGGATTCCTGGCAAATCTTTTTATTCGAGAAAAGGACCCAAAAGAAAGAGAAGTTGGACATACGCTATAGCACACGTCATCGAGGTGACCAGATGTGGTGTATGTGGAAAAATTATACATGAACGACCAGCGACCGCCGTAAATGGCTGGGAACCACAGAATGTATTTGTCAGATTTTGTCCTGTATGCTTTCAAGCGAGACCCGGCATCCAAGAAAAAAGAACAGATTGGGTAAAATATTAAAACAATAAATACGTCTTCAAAAAAATATCCTTTCTTTATTTCTCCCCTTCCCTCACTTTTCATCATTAAGAGATGGTTTGAAAAATGAATACATTCACGCGCTGTAATCAGTTTTATTGTTGCTGCAGTGCAGTACTATTTGAACAAGATGAAAATTGTTAAACAAAAAACAACATTAGATATTGACAACAATGATATATTCAAAGATAAGTCTATCAAAAAACATGGCGAGCTGTTTCCTTCAACGTTGCGATGTATTATAGTTGGACCTTCTAATTGCGGAAAAACAAATCTTATGATCAATTTAGTTGAACATGAAAACGGGTTAAAATTTTAAAATGTTTATGTGTATTCAAAGTCTTTGTATCAACCAAAATATACATATTTGGCAGAATTATTAACACCAATAAAAGGGATAAAATATTTTCCATTCAATGCTAGTGACAACATTTTACACCCTTCAGATGCCAAACCAAATTCCATATTTATTTTTGATGATGTCGCATGCGATAATCAAGATGTTATCAGAGAATATTTCAGCATGGGAAGACATAACAGTATAGATTCTTTCTACTTGTGTCAAACATATGCAAAAATACCTAAACATCTAATAAGGGATAATGCCAATATCATTATACTTTTCAAGCAGGATGATTTAAACTTAAAACATATATATAATGATCATGTTGGTTCAGATATGTCATTTGATAATTTTAAACGTATATGCACTGTATGTTGGGAAAATTCATATGATTTTTTAGTCATATTTAAAGACTGTAACATTGACAACGGTCGATATAGAAAGGGTATAGATCATTTTATTTATATGGATAATTCTCATCCGATGCGTTCAGAACAGATCGACAACTGATGAAAACCTGATCATCACCTGATCACAGGCCGTTCACCACCTGATCGAAGTCTAATTAGCACCTATGGGAAAACTTTTAACTGGAAGAAGTCTCAAAGAAAGACTTATATTGAAGCGTCAAAATGTTCGCAGAAAATTGTATCAACTGAAACATGGAGAAATGTTACAAGAAGCCTTGTACAATCCCATTACAAAACATTTGAGAAGTATCGAATCTAAACTTCAAAATAATACCAACACGGTACCTGGTACCTCACCACCACCACCACCACCAACATCACCACGTTCCTATACAGTAGCTGAAGCTGATATAAGGCCTGAAACAAAACTATTCGCATCTAATGAAGGGGGGCAGCATGGGAAACTCCTAAAGCTATGTTTGAAGCACGTAAAAGAAAACTATTATCATTTCAATCAGTGACACCAAGAACGAGGACAATCGCTAACAGTGAGGAAAACTCTGATTATGATGACGATGATCCACCAAGCAGCATAAAAAAATCAATCATAGACGGTATAAATTCTGATTATGAAGACAATGATTCGACTGGATCGGGTAATGATAATGTTGCTAATAGAAACAGATTTGATGATATTGCAGAAAAGTCATTTACTGAATACTTAGAACAATATGAGGACCCGTTACCTAGAAAATACATTAGTGAAATGTATGCAGACAAAAATAATCGAGAATTTGATCATAAGTATGGCGTCAGGCTGGATGACACTATTGAACAATTTATGATTGGTGATTCTAAACTAGACTTCAATGGTGCTGATATATATGTGAAAGGTAAACGGTACAAGGGTAGTCAAGGCTTATACGAATTGTTATTTAGAAAATATCCCAACATGAATTTCTGCAGTTCTGACGATGTCAATACCTACAGGCAAATTGTATATAAAACTAATGCCCACAGAAGGTACTACAGATCTAATACTCAATTGGATGGGAGTAAACTACAAAAATATAAAAAAATCATAGCACCTCCTTTAAAAATGGGCCAAGGATTAATGAACAATAAAAATATTACCACGACAATGGAATATTCTAGCAATGATAAGGATTATATATACTGGGATGATCCTAATGAACTTGTAAGTCGTCTACGCTTATTGATTGCATCACAGGCTGCCGGTCACTTAGGTCATGGTAATGAGATTAATTCGCTAGTTGAGGAATTAAGGGAAAGTAAATATATTGAATAATGGTTAAAACACATAAAACGAACATAAAATGCCAAGTTGTTGAAGAACTACATAAGCCTGCACGCAGAAATTTCAAAAGAAGAAAAACCATTGTGAAATCTCTACACGATCTTTTCCAAGCAGATCTTGTAGAAATGATACCATACTCGAGAGAAAATAAAAACAATAAATATATACTGGTTGTGATAAATTGTTTTTCGAAATTTGTTTGGGCTTTACCTTTACAAAATAAAACAGGTAAAGTGGTAACAAAAGCTATGGAAAGTGTACTAAAACAAGAAACACCTAAGAATCTACAAACAGACGCTGGATTGGAATTTTTCAATAATGATTTTAAAAACCTAATGAAGAAATATAATATCAATCACTACAATACATTCAGCGAAAAGAAGGCAGCCATTGTCGAAAGAGTAAATCGAACTTTAAAAAATATGATGTGGAAAGAGTTCAGTCTGCAGGGAAATTATAAATCGATAAGTATTTTACCAAAACTGGTAGAACAATATAACAATAAGAAGCATAGAACTATTCAAATGAAACCAGCTGATGTCACAAAGAAGGATGAAAGAAGGCTGTTATCTACTGTATATAATCGCTTGAAAATTGTAAACTTGGAAACAAAATTCAAAGTAGGTGATCATGTACGCATTTCTAAAATAAGAGGTGTTTTTGACAAAAAATATCAACCAAATTGGTCACCTGAAATTTTCACAATACGAAAAGTAACATTAACTAATCCAATTACATATTTGTTGAAAGATGAAAAAAATCAACATATTTTAGGAGGCTTTTATACAGAACAACTTCAAAAGGTAAAACATCCTGATGTTTATCTTATAGAAAAAATATTGGAAAAAAAAGGAGACCATATCAAAGTCAGATGGTTGGGATTCGATAAGAAACATGACAGCTGGATACATAAAAAGAATATTACCTAACAAATAATCTCAGTTCATATACAGTCTTCTTGTGCAGCGTTTGCATTCGACATTCAACAGACAAAAAAAATTATCATTATCGACGTTCAAGGCTTTACTTGTGGATCCAACTTCATTTGCAAAGAAATTGCTATCATGGATAGTGCAACGGGATACTGGCAACACAAATTAGTTAATCTACCTGCAGAATTTACAATGCTCAACAGTAGCACACAGTCACATATCAACTGGACTGTAAACAATTTACATGGAATTCCTTGGGATCTATCTCCTTCTGAAGAGTCATGTCTTCATTATGAACAATTGACATCGTTCATTAAAGAAAATGTCCACGATGAACCAATTTTTGTCAAGGGACGCTCAAAACAACAATGGTTGGAAATACTCATCACTAATCACATCACCGATCTACATGAAATAGGATGTCCAAATCTTCGCAAGCTGAAGAAGATATTCCAGTACAAACATTGTTATAAACTTTTGTATAATAATATGCATTGTGCTTTAGAAAATGTTCATTTATTATTTAATTAGAATCTTATATCTAATGCTTCAAACCAAAAATTGGAATGAATACAATGTCACACTACCGCCGTCGTTTCATTTACTTCCCATATTATTATTATTAGTATTATTATTATTATTATGACTAGAGGATGATTTAAATTAGGCTTGGCTAGGCGAGGCTTGTCTCTTGCATATGCATAAAGCTTTTCTCAATCACTACTCACTTTTGTGTGTCACATGGTATTTAGGCCTTTTTTTATGCATACATGACGTCACGTTTTGGCACATCTCACCCTCTGGTCATTGGCGATACACTTCTTGCATGTCTGCAAAGTCTTCAGATATCCAAGGTCAAATAGAGGGCAAACAGAACAGAACCTGATGGATGGGTTACCAAGTGAGTTAGAATCGATGTTGTTCTACTACTCTCGTTATTTCAGCAAACATTTCTTTGCGTTTTTGAGAGAATTTAGGAAATGATAAAGCCTTCGCAACATCCATTTCCTTTTGGTGTACCAATTCAAAGTGTTTAGCGATATGCAATACGATTGCATGGCAGTAGTAACAGCAGTGTTTATTTCTTATTCTTTTTCCTGTGGAATTTGTTCTAGCAGCAGATATTTCTAGGTCACGACAGTTGCTGTTGGTGGGTGGCGGGGTATTTGTTGTTGACGAAATAACATTTTGTGATATATCTGGAGAACGTATTCGGATGTTGCTGATAGCTGTTATTTTTGGAAGCCGTTTTCTCTTAATTACTTTTTTATCAGTCGAAGTCGCTTGCATTTCATCCGGACCAGCAGTAGCTACTCCTGGGACAATTCCTATATATTCGGTAGGAGCTGCTTCTGGAACACTCCGATTGTCGTCATTGTGGCGGAATTCAGCAGCTTCAGCATTAGCTTCCTCTGAAGTACGTTTTTTATTGGCATACTGATTTTCGTTAGGTGTAACAGCATCTACCTGTGACGTACTTTTCCTATTGTCATCATATTTGCACTTTGATCTGAGGATGTTCGAGTATGTTTTCTTTTTTCGCTTTTGATTGTCATCATCTTCATCTGTACTATCAAATTGTAGCTCATCAGGTGACACATGATATTCACGTTCTGAGCTTTTGTCTTTTGAAGAAAAATCATCTAGTATCTTTTATCCCAGCACTTCCTGTGATCCTGAAGAAAAGCTCGGCTTCAATAAAATGCTTGATGATTAGCAAATATAACATTGGTTATGTTCAGCTGCATGAAGTCGCTGAGAGAAAGCAACGTGTGAAGTATACTTCAATTAAAGTGCTAAATGTCATTGGATGAACAGTAAATATATCACGCTAAAGCATAACCGATACAGTGCTTTCTCTCAACGGTTCAGGTTACATTTAAGCAGTGTCAAATGTGTTAGCTATCAAGCAAAGAATAATGTCAAAAATAGGAGTTTTTTGCCCTCTCTCTCTCTGAGCATGTGATTATTGTTGTTAATGATTAGAAGTAGTCAAAGATACCTAT